AAGTCCTTATTGACAGTAGTTATGGCAACCAGCACATCCGGATGCACCCATGATTTCTATGGTTGATTCTGGTTGTCATAACGATTGGTAAACAAACTTACACAGTAGAGTTGTAGGTTTCGAAGTAAACTGTACATTTTTTTCAATAGCATAACAGATGTTTTGCAGTTAGATATTATGTAAGTGTAACTTTGATATGAAGTCACTTGAACGTTATCGAAGTAGAACTTTGGGAAGTGTCATTCAGAGCAATGTTTTTATGGCAGTATTTTCACATCAACTTAATGTGTTCGTGTACATGGTTGCTGTTTAAAAAAACGTATGTTATACATGTATTGCAACAGATTTCGTGTAACGGGAAACGAAGAGAAAGTGCAAGTTGGATCAAGGATTCAACCTTTTACACAGTAGCCAAATTTCAGGCTTTTTCATTTGAAATGTTGGGCCAGCTTCGGGCTTTTAATGAAATATACTTAGGCTTCACTGGCCTTATGTTCAGGCTCTGGACAAGAACCTGACTGTTATTCCTTGTTGTACCATGGTAATGCATGCTGGCATTAATGTTAATGGGCTTCCATGCTGTTCTTATTAATTTTCAGGTTGACTGTTGGTGTTATTGATAGTTGTTTGCTGCAGTCTGAAATTCAAACTCATTTTTGCAGACCAAAATGACAGAAATAATTATGTTAGAGCATATACAACAGGTGTGCCATTGCAAACAGTTAACGATATTTTCACCCCAGCAAACCAAAACTTAGACATGCAGTGGTGGCATGCAATTGAGATCAAGGAGGGATAACTGTGTTTCTTATAAATGTATAATTACTTTGCATTCTAGCTCTTTAATGAATGGAAGATTGACAGTGCATTGTGTGGGTCTGAATAAGGCCTTATGTCGTTTACCAATGGTCTTGATTGCTTTGGCATTTTTTTAAAATTAACATCAGAGCAAAAGTTCAAATGTCATATTTGTTTTGTTGAATACTGTACAAAGTATTTGCAACAATTTCTTAAGAAAACAGATTTTTGTTAGGTGGTTAAAATTCCTATGGTGAACCAATGTGGATAGATCTTGTAAATACTTAGCTGCATTTGTATTGTGATTGTTGAAAATAAAACTGAACAGCCTACACCCTTGAACATAGATAGTTCGACACCTTTAGATGTGTTTTAAAGTGTGCTGAATAATATCCGCTCAATTTCAAAAATAGTGAGATATTAATCACAGTAGTATGCCCTAGCCTTCTTGATTTAAATGCAGTATTCCGGGTGCGCACATTGAATAAGTCATTCTTGGAGGACGGACGTTTCTGGAACAATTTTCACTTTCATTTTTTGGTCTTCCGTACATGCTGTGCGTTTTATGTACATGTCACATAACATAATACCAAACATGATGCATAGGCACTTTCAAAGATGTTATTGATAGATAAAACACGATTTAGGCTAAAAGCGGATCCGACCGAAATTGGAGTTTCCTATTCTTTTTAAACGTCATGATGACTGTGATTAAAGTTCTGAATGTTTGAACCCCGGCATGAGCCTGCTATCGTGCACAGGATTGACTGTCTGGTTTCCAATGTTGGTTCAAAAAGTGTAGATCATTTCACGGGGGTTATTTTCGTCCAGCCAGACTTTCCCAACTCCCTTGTGCAGGACAGGGCGCACGGTGGGGCATGCCCGCTGTGATTCACACCAGTGAATCGCTGGAGCTGCTGGTGATTGTCATGTCCTGTGAAAATCAAACAAGCTGGAAAAACAGCAAGAAAAGAATTGAAATTTGAGTCAAGGACTTGTTGATTCCCCCCCCCCCTTTTATACTAGGGCCCCGCAGGAAACTGAGATGACTGGAATTTTGAGGTGTCGATGAAGGAAAGTTTGATCGAAGCACGTTCTTTCTTGTGTCATCGTGTGGATGTTGTAAAATTTGTAATTTTGAAAGTATTTTGTTGAACGAGAAATTTGCAAGAAGCAACAATATTGTACAGATATCTATTTGAAATCTTGTAATTATGAAATATGCACCGGATGTATTACGGTTGACATAGTCTTAGAAAAGTATTACAATCTGTCTTCAAATCAACCCTGAACATGGGTTGTGTTAGTCCAGTACTTTGCCGGTGGTGGGACTGACAAAAGACCAAGAACTTGAAGAACACTTCAGCTTTTGTCCTGCGCGTGATAAAAATCATGAGTCATTCTGTGTAAATCTGACATGAGAAACTCGGCGGGGAAAAATATACACGACAGTGAAACCACTCACGGATTTATTTTAGCCAACTGTAAGCAGCCACTGTAGCTCATACCAGAATACACCTTCGTGTATACATGTATATATGTTGCTCTGTTCGGTTACAATGGTCCCATGAAATTCAAACCCTTACACAATTAATTGAATTTGACAGTCTGTTTTCTGCTGGATTTGCTGTAAACAGTAACCTTATAGCGCGACATCGACACCGGCCAAACAATGAATTTTGTTTCAATCAAGTGAATTCTCTGTTTCAGGCTCAGGTCGAATGCTGACGTACCCAAACGGGTACGCACCTGTACGCCACAGCCCTCAACGTATGCATCGCGTACACACCTGACTGGAGTCAGCTAGCATTGGAAATATTTTGGTAGGCGTTCTTACACATTTTGTATGTGTACAGTACCGCGCTGGCCCTAAGGGTGTCTGGCACGTAGAAACCGCTGCAACGACTGCATATAGTGTCCTATTGTTGTGGTTTTTGTTAGTAATCCCAAGTCTGTCTATGACTTGTACAAAAGCCCTTTTCGCTGTGTATTGACCACTAGCTGAGGTGTTCAAACATTGCCAGAGAATAATCAATTACAACGTAAAGGCATTACATGTACATGTGTGTACTGTTGTTTCGATCAAAATGAGTGGACGGGTCGCTCATCACGACTAAAATATCCGGTCTTCCCACTCTGTGATGCATCTACAATCACCAAAATCCATCAACTTTGACAAGCTAGCCTATTTAGAGTTCTGTGATCTGTGCGTGGCGTCACAACGGGGTAAAATCGGCTTTAACTTCGTATCGATATCCCACAGACACTGCAAACCATGAGTCGGCTCTCTCTACCGTGACTACAATTTGGGTATCAAAGTTTGCGAGTACTGAAAGTTCGGGATAGAACCGAGACTCCGATGTAGCGTACATGACTCTGATTCATAGGCCGTAGATCCCAGATTTGGGGATAACCCCCTCCCCTCTTTTGGACTGGGTATGATGGGATGGACTAAAGCGTTGAGTAGAAATTCCTCCGTGGTTTATACGGGGCACAACCTTCTCGCATTTTCCAAAGTTGAGCGTATAAAAAGCAACCCTCCCCCTTATATGACGTGTTCTCGTTTCCAGTATAGGTTGTTAACATTATTTTGTTTAGCCAAAAGCCTTTGATTATGCTGTTTTTGCTGGTCATCATGCCTCAACTCAGATCAACTCTAGAAAGACCTCCGAATAGAGCCCCATAAATCGCCAGTTGATTTTCACTTGCAGCCCCCCGGTTGAGATTATCCAGATTCTACAGGAAACGCTGGATGTCCTGTACATGGACCTGTGTGTATTACAGTATCCATGCATGAGCAATAAGGAAGTAATTCACGATGGCGAGTGCTCAATTTAAATCCGAGGCACCAAGTCTTGTCTCGAGTCGCGAGTATTGAATACCGAGGATGTGAATATTTTATGTGCAAAATAAGTCGAGCACAAATTGGTAAGCGCTCTAATCCTACTCTAATCTATTCTTACGAGTAAAAATGTCAGTGTAGGAGTAAATATCTATGATTTTGGGGTCATGACAAGCAGTGTCATGGTGTTTATGTGCATAATGTGAAATAGTCTTGGCTTTAAATTGGCCCTTAACTTCTAACGTATTACTTATCATAAAATACCTACGTGCGAGATTTCGAGTGCCATATTTTCTTCCGCGATATTTCTGAACATTAATGACCGAAGACGCGAAGATGCCGCCAACGTGAGCATGTTTTGCATACTAGTATGACAGCTAAATATTTGGACATTGTTTACACCAAGAGGTCAAAGTTGTCACTTTGTGTAGCAACTTGAAAGAAATATTTACGGGTCACTGTACTAAACTGTCCCTTCGGGTTGTCAGTCAGTCGTCATATTTTTTTCAACAAAGTTTTGAGGTCGTGATGGGCATGTGAGCGTGGTGTGAGTGAGGCGAGCGGCGTCACATTTATTCAGCCTGTATTAATGAAACCAACAACGTGAACATAGACGATTGCATAAAACGTGTTAATTTTTTTCAATTAAGAAATGGATCGTTCCCTCTATTCGTTCATTCATTTATTTTTTTTCCAGATCAGGTAACAATAGTGTCAGTATAAACATGAATATTGGCATAATCTTACATCAATCATGTCCCTTAAACCAAGAATTGGAACCGGTAAGACAGACAAATACATTCACATAAGATACATGTACAAGAGATATGCTGTGGAATGAGATCCCCAAGAAGCAAGGCTTGTCGGGTAGGGATCCCCTTGAACTAACTTTTAGACACGGTATAGAAAATGTCACTTATTTGTCCAATTTTAGGTTAACCAATCAAACCACAATGAAACTGATAAATGCATCCATGCACATTGCAAAAAGTTTTCTCACAGTCATGAAAATTAAATCAAGAGATTCTCAGATCAAAGGCCCAGTGATGATATAGTTTCCTATCCAAAATTGAACTGACTTTGCATTGCATTGTTTGTTTTGTTTCTTCGAAATATTGTACGAATACCCTCGGTCGGTTTAGAGTTTAGGCTCGAAAGCGTTAAACATGTTTGAAATTTAGGTTTAAGGCTTAATTCCTTTCTATTTCAGTCATTTCTTTTTTGAATATGTTATTTTTCGTAATGCCTCTACACGTACATGTACATGTACACTTGTGGTATCTGTGTGTATTTCCAATGGGGTAGCAATCGCTCGTTAAAAAGGCGCCCTCATTTGGTTATTCTCACCTAGTATTTAAAATGGCGCTGTCCATGAAAGCATGGAGGAAGGAGGGGAGTTTCACATTTTTGAAACACTCAACGAATTAATTTATCAACGAATTTCAGTTTCTTGATTTGTGGTTCTGCTATTGATTCTTCAACTGATTTCACTTGTCGGCATTCACTGATTTCAAAAGTACATGTGTAGCCTAGGCCTAATATGCCTAACTTTCTCAATGACCATGATGACCATGACGATGACATGCGTGCGTGTTTCACATTGACCAACAACATAATGGCCAATGGCAATGTCATGTCATGATGTTGCACACGTTGTATGTTCATCAGGCGTCGTTGGTTGGCACTGACTGGCATCTGGCTGACATGACTCAACTGATGGTGACTTTTGACAAAGTCTGTCTCTCGCTGTTACTAGTCTTCAAAATATCGCCACAGTCATCAGTCGAGTTTTACACAGAGACGGCAAGACGCATAATCTGGTGCAGAGTGGTGGGGGTAGTCCAGTTGTAGCGGTACACGTCAGCGTTTTCTTCACAACTTCATGGACATGACGGAGCATTAATCTCTGCAAAATGAGTACATTTGGAGGGTTGATGGTAGAATACCAGCATATTGCAATCGACAGATTTCTGGGTCGTGCGGTTCTCAGAGCAAGAGCCTATTTCTTGTCCCATGCACATGCAGGTAGGCCTGGGACTTGAAAAACTTGTTTGTATCATTGACTGGCATTGTTAGAGGAACCCTAACACTCCTCAATCCTTCACCTGTTGCTGTTGGAGGACTGAGGAGTGTTAGGGTTACAGGATGGGCTTCATGCCGCATGTTGATTTTGTAGTAAATGTACATGTAGGCATAGGCCTGATGAATCTACAAGCCAAGAGCATGTCCTCTAGGCTGTAGGATCTCATGTGTAATGCACCAACTGCACGCCATGAACAGGACATATAGCATTGGTGATGTAATCAAACTCAAACTGTTAAAAGAAGTTAACCTGTCAACTAGGACTTTTCAACAAGAAAAAAAAATACACTTGGACAATTTATCAGAATCTCTTTGTTCCAATGAGCATAATCATCATTTGTCTCTGTAGCCATTTTTCTTAAAATTAATCCTTAAATCTGTTAGAATTTTTGTTCAGAGCTGTGTTTATCCATCCAGTCATAAATTTGTTAAGGTACAAGATGACCTGTTTCCATAACTGCTCCGTAGTGTCCCTAGAACCACTCTGGTCATCTCCACTGCTTTCATGTTAATTGTGTCACATACGTGCACTTGTAGTTGCTGAAGTCTTGATAAGACATAGTAAGAAAACGACGCTGGGTATAACGTAGCATCCAACAAGGAAAGACATGTTACTTATGCTGTTCTTTATCTTATTTGGCAAGTAACAATCATCTTTTTGCCATGGTTTTCATGTAGGGTTACTGAAAATATCACTCTTCATCTTTTACCTTGGAGTTGTTTCATTTTGGAGGTGTTTTGCCCTGTGTTGGAGTTTTTAAATGGTTATGTTAAATGCAGAAAAGCTCACTAGTTTAGCTCAATTACCATTTCGATCAGGAATGCATGTACATAAATAGTGCATGCTAAATGTTGTTTTAACAAGGAAGCTGTAAATTTTATACAGGTAAATGATCGATTAATGTTCGTTTCATTTGTAGACTCTAGGGATGTTGATCATTAAGACTCATGATGTAAATTCCATTCTCTTCTTTCAACAGATCATATGGTTGGTCTTGACTCAAATCAGTTTTACCAGAGACTTCACTCAAGGTGAGGTGATAACCAGTTCACTTACAAGTCATTTGTATTACATTACATTTTGTTGCATTTGCAATCGGGAAGAAAGATTTCGGGCATGCATTTTCAAGACCCTGTGTCTGAAGCGCGGCAGCTGGGGCGCAGCATCTTTTGACTTACTCCTCATGAAGGTTAACTTTTCTCCAATTTTTCTTTTCCGTATTTCCATCATCATTTACTTCCAATTCTTATTCAAAATTAGGCCTATCATAAAAGCAAAGTAGTTTACATGTACCTATGCTCGTTTGTCATGGCAGGCTCTGTTTTTGGACATTGCGCTAAGATTTGTACACGGGCGATATGAAGCTACCCGAATGAGGACATGCCGACGGGAACAAATGTTCCCTTCGGACTGTTCTCGCAAAGGAACACAGTGTTCCATGTGGAACGCGACTGTTCCCAATGGAACAGCCCACCATTCTGGAATGAGAACACAGCTTTCCAATTGGAACGTTCCAACTGTTCCGAATTATGAAATGCTCCCTAATGTTAAATTTTTACTTGTACTTTGTAAATGAAAAACTCTTGGAGAGTGCCTAACTTCTTTATACTGATAAATGATGTTTACCTCCCTTGAGGAAGACCACGGTCTCCAGCTGAAACTGAAAACTCGGGAAGTTTTAGTTCATTTTAGGAAAACCGTGCATTTCTCATAAGCGTCAATTTAGTTCTTCAATTCTTTTCAAATCCATCCAAACCACCAGTTGGGTTGCAGAATATTTTAGGATTGAGGCAGGATCAGCCAGACGGTACTCGTATCTCATTCTCATGGCGTTGATGTTCATGCATGTTCAGTAAAGAAGTATGCTTCCTTGGTTTTCCGTACATTGGTAGATTTTGGAGGATTTGGGAAGGTACCTGGTCAGGGTTGGTTTTTTTAATGAAGACCCAACTAAGCTTAAAGGAACCAGGAAATGAATTTTTCTTAGAATCTTTTTTTGTGTGTCTCTGTACTCTTCTTCCATGTATGAAGACTGTTTGACATCTTTTTTGAGTTACGTGAACCAAACGGTGCACTTTTTCATACATAAAAAATTGGCCACGCATTTCTGGACAAGTGAGGGCCCTTTTGCTTTGATGTAAATCCAGGAAGATATGGTTCAGGTTGCATGTTTTCATGTTCAAATTGTGAACCCCAAATTTGCTATCTGGGAACATTAATGTGAAAAGGATTTTTGCTGGATTATTGCCATATACTTACACAGCAATAAATTTCCAAAGAAAATAAAATCTGCCGGAGCAGTGGTTAAAAAATCTAGAAATTTTCTGTGTACAAATCAATGCAACATTGAGATTCAGTGCCTTGGATGACATCATTGTTGTGCTCATGAATATGCAAATCATTAGCATAAAACCAAAAAAAATCAAAATATGGGATAAAATTGCACAACAAAAATTTAAAATGAGGTTAATTGAAACCCAAAGATTCAATTTCACGGGTTTTTAGTAGAATTTATAAAATATTTCTATTTTCTGGTTCCTTTAAGATTCCTCGCACAGATTAGCATATACACATACCAGTATGTACATGTACATTTACACACATACATGTACTTGTTTCTAGGTTATGGGAAAGACACGCTTCCTGAAAATATATTTGGACATTACAGAAAGCAAAAGGTTTGGGGACAAACCCGCTCTCGATTTCATAAAAGAAATTGTTCCCTTAACGTGGGAAAGGTCTTTTTGATATCATTTCCAGCTGCCCTCATTATGAATTCATGGTAAATACCAAACCAATTAAGCACCAGCATTATGCTCATCAACACTACTACCATAATCATCATCAGTTGCCGCCAGCAATGCAGACGACCAAAGATGATGAAACACCCAACCAGGACTACTTTTTTTCAAATCCAGGTTTCATCCCCAGCTTCCAGGTTATTTGTCAGACAACTTCAGTCCTCCTGTAGCAGATTTGAACCGTACCAACCTTTGAGGGTATTAACTTTTGAGGGGGGAAAAAAATCTACAAAAGTGAAGGTTTAAGCCACAGTCAGCGAGGAAGCCCATTTTTGAAAAAAAAAATCATCCAGGGCTCCCGACATCAATCCACACCTGCGCCGGACCCAGTCCCAGGGCTGACTCATCCTGCACTGCCATTTCTCATCTTTCTGTCAAACTTAACAAATACGCAAGCCCCAGTCACCCATCCCAGTTGCCAATGAATCTCACAGCTTCCAGACCATGCGCCAACCGATGACAGCTACGTGTATATGTACACCTTTTTCAGAGCCATTTTTTTTGCCCCCACCTCCTGAATGTTTCAATGCCTCCAAATGCAGCCTAAATTTTTGGGATCACTTGGGAGGTGACCGTACGCATGTAATTGTTGTACATACATGTAGCAAATTTCATTCCAACATGTGTTCCAATATCATGCCACTGTATTCTACCGAGTATACTTGGGCATACATAAACGTACCGATAGGTATAGAAGGCAAAGTACATGTACAGCATATGTATAGCAAAAAGGTATATTAAGCAATGCATAAATGCGTAATGGCCCATGCCATGTGCCAGGGTGAAATATATTATAAATATTTTGAGGCCAATTGCCTGACCACGAAGCCTCTGTTGCTAAGGGAAACCAAGAGAGTGTCTAATTTAAGTTTAACATTTCTGTTATGTTTAATGTTTATCTCCAAAAGCACCTGTGATAAAAATGAAATTATATGCAAATGGCAAATAACTCCAAAACGCAGAATGCCACTGGGAAGAATTAGATATCAAATGGAAGCTTTGGCTGCAAGCAATTTGATTGTATATGTGACATAATACACCGTTTTGGAGAGCCGGTCACACATACCAGTAGGCTTGCTCAAAATCTTTGTAAATCTTAGCGTTCAAAAACCATGTAGATGCTCTGTGCATGTGTGTGGTGCATTGGATTTGAAAGGTTTGGTAAATTGCAAGTACATTTAAATATCAGGGTTTTTTTTCTACTCCAACAAATCTAAACAAGTGGATAAAAAGAAAGTGAAATGCAAGACAACAGGACTGTTAGTCCTCAGAAGTGGAATACAGAATTGAATTTACTTTGTAACAGGTTATACATGAGCATGTACCTGAAAGAAAATCTTACGTCTTCATGGGAAAATTTATTGCAAACAGAACAATAAAAGCATGAGCTGATATAAAAATCAGTCCATATTAAAAAGAATATTTTCATGGAAAAATTTACCCATTTTCATTCTCAAAATTGTGCCATCCAAACTAATAAAGTACAATTGTGTAATATTTATTGCAAAATTCAAATTGTTGATAGCATAACAACGTAACACCTTAGGATGTCATAACAGTTCAATTTCCCCCATAAATGTGCAAACTGTTGTGGCACTCCACTTCAGGACCTGCACCTGCACAGCCTGTGCCACCATGGGGATCGGGATGCTGTATTTCCAGATTTTTCTCCCCAAGGAGAGAATGTTTTTCACAAGAGGAACAGCGTCTATCTCACCCCTGCAATTATGTAGCGTAGAAGTTAAAGGTTATGTGTGGTACTCAAGCAAGGGCCAGGTAAACATTAATCACCCTCGTGTATAGCGCCATGTAATCCATCCGACAGATCTCTGCGCCAGGAAATGCAGTACATACATGTAGGTTTATGACAATGTGGCAAGTTAGTTGGTATGGTGGTAGCTTCATTCCAAAATGAACTGATTGCTGGAGCAGACTGGCTGTTGTATGTGTGTATCCTGATCAGATGCTGGTACATGTCATTCCTCGATCAAGAATATGAATTCAGATTCTCAAAAACTTCTGCTTGTTGGCATTTTGTTCAGTAGTTTTTGTTTTGTTCTTCATTATTTGCTTGTTGCACACTTATGTACATAAATGAATACTTGATGCCTGTCATTTTTCCTAGTTTCACATTTTTACAGAGCTCTTCTAGCTGTCTCTTGGCCTTTTTAATTGTAAGCCATTTTGAAATAAATGTTGCTTTGAAAGTTGTGCAACCCTCCTTTTCTCTATAAATTTTCCCGTTAGTAGCAGTTCCAGTGACGCCCTATGTACTGCTACGTGTCCAACAATGCTAAGTCTGTGCAATATTGAGTAGTATAAATGTACATGCAGTCTGTTGCATAACTGCATTTAAAATTTGGCCAGCAGTTTCTGTAAACTATGTCATTTAAGCTGTCAAATTCCATCAAAGATTCCAGTCCTTTAATAATGCAGGATGCTCAAGTAGCATTGTTTATAGGCCTACCTTTTGTCTTAGTCCAGTTGGTCATAAATAATAATAATAATTAATAATAATTACACTTATATAGCGCATATTTCATTTGTATATGTTCATAAATGGCAAAAACTGGAACACAGCAGGCTTTCTGACTGTATTATCACACCGCTATGACAGTTTTGTGCCTCTTTCCACAAAAGTCACTTTTTACAGAATTTGTTCAGTCAAAAGTGTGCTACTATTTGCAGATTTTGATGAAGTTTTAAGGTTTGAATTTGAACATATGAATTCCTTTTTGCTTTACACATGTACCATACATGTACATGTACAAGCATAGCATGAAACTGAGGGCTGTGGAATTTTGTGGCGGCACAAGCTTTAGCAGTCAGTTTTTATAGTTTGGATTTAAAAACATGTACATGTTTATATTTTGTTTTAGGTATTAACCGCTACGTGCTTAAAACCCTGCCAAGGCTGGAGTTTTCAAGCCATGCAAATGTTGGTTTAGTTTTCTGTGTTTGTTTTACATCCTATTACAATTGACATAACTGAAACTAGATGCTGAATTTTCTGATAGTATCCTCAATCAGTGGCTCATCTGTGGCTTATCAAAGCTGTCCGTGAAATCCAGGGTATTCTATAGAGAAAGGTCGGTGTTTCCCCCGAGGGGAAACTAGGGGATTGTCTGTCCTTGGGTATGTGTGGAAATGGCTCATGTGTGATATCGAACTTGTGTTGTGTGGATGAGAGCATGAAATTTGGCTGTCTGGTAATTGGAGATTTGGTGTTAACTGTTAAACTACCATAGCTGTGGCTGGTGATGCATTAGGGGTCATTCTTTATGTACATTTGGGGTCCCATGTAGTCCTGTCCTTGTTACACCCCTCATGATTTTGTAAGTTACTTTAGAATATTTTTAAAGTTTTAAGAGTGATTAAAAATTGCAAATAACCTGCCAAACAATTGAAGATTAGTTTGAAGTTAGTTTCAGTGATACGTGTTTGGTCAAATTACACATCAGATGTGACTGGGACAGAAAACTGTCACACATCGGACCAGAAATTAGCAGCATGAACCTTATGTAGCTAGTAAATATAAAGCACACACTCAACGCAAATGAAAAAAAAAAGATAGTAACCAATCGAGACAGAATCTATTGACACTGCCAGTTGAATATCTAGTGCATCCCCGACATAAAAGTTTCTCAGTTATTTTTGTATGCAATATAACGTACACACATGTACAAATGGAACTGTACTCTCCCCTCCCCTCTTTCCCAAAAAGAGAGCCACCAACATATTCAGTCTCTCCATGTATTTTCTGAGAGAAAATGAAATCCTTTTTACCAGTGCAAGTTTTTCTCAGGCCTACAAATTTTTTTAAATGTGGAAATCTTCAAAATGCAGCCATAGGCCACTGCCAGGTTGCTGTGCAGCATTGCGTGTCAAGCACATCGTTTGTAAGGCCAGAGCGTAAAAGAGACGAGATGCATAATGAGTGTGGCATGCTCAGCCTGCTGGTCTAGGGGCTGTTCCGCTCTCCTGAACAACACAAACAAGTATACAGTGCATCTGACTATTTGAAACTTGAATCCTCATGCAGCCAAATCCGAGCACTGTACACTCTATGTGTTAGGTGCAGGTTTTTTGCCACGATGCTATGATGAGTGACTTCTCCCATTCCCCTATTTTATTTTTCCCCCTCTCCTTTAAGGTACAAAGGAGATACATGTAGTTATTTTGTTCAGACATTAAGATACCTTTTAATTTCATTTGTCTCTGAACCTACTTTCTTTTTGAAAAGCAAACAAAGACTTCGACAAATCAGCTTCAGCTTGCATGGTATACCTTTGCCAAATGCACCACTTGTTTGCCTGTTCACATTATGTCGATCATAGCAACAGATATAATTGGCAATACTTCAAATCTCACACATTTATGCGATTCCTTCCCAGCAAACACATCAAGCTCTACTGCTCCGAAGTCACACGCGAGTTTCTCCTGACAGACAGACGGTTTGTCCATCTGGAGCCCTTCATCCGAAGCCTGCCCATCAAGGAGCCCACCACCATCACTCTCTACAATGAAATCAACGGCCAGGCAAGTTGTCCATCCATTCCTCATATCTGAGTGATTGATGAAACAGACCTTTCCCCCGAGAGACAGGCTCATCACTATCAGGGAAATTTTATCCTTTCATTTCTTAGAGCATAGCACAGACACCAGATTGGGCTTACAGGGAGTATGTACAAGTGACACTAATTTTCAAGACATATTTTTCTTAAAGATGTTAATTGATTATTCAGAGTCAAAGACCAAAGTTCTGTTTGAAACTGCCATCAGGGATGCCAGTTTTCAGGCAAGTGCCTGAGAATTTTCTGAAATTCCTGGGATTTTTGCACTTTGGTGCATTGCCATGCACAACTTTTGTAATGGACATTATACATGTCCATTTGATATAGGCCTATTTATTATTTCCAGAAATCCAAACTACAAAAACTACTGCAAACTTACTTTTGGCTACAATGTGCTAAAATACACAAGTCCAAAAAATCACAGGGCCTGAGGTTTCAAATCTAGCAAAATATTTCACAAAGGCAAAAAGAAACTTAGTTTTTTTGGAAAGATTCTACTTTAGATCAAAACAGCAGGCCCTCTACTTATATCATAATTTTTTCCCCCTCAGGAAAAACAGGTGCTTGTTACCCTCTTGTCTGCCGGCCACTGCCCTGGTTCAGTCATGTGAGTGGGCTTTGATTTCTTACCATTCCCTGAAAATGTTAACTGGCTCCGACAAGGGAACCCTAGAATAATAAGGTGGCTTCCCCATGGCTCTGGGAGAGAATTCCTCAAAAGAACAAGACCAAGTGCCCACAGTGAATGCAGCCTCCTGACCCAGTGCTTCTGAATGCCATTGTGGAGTCTGGCAGTCGTAAACTGTAAGCCTACATAAAGGGTGGGAGAGAAGAATGCTGAACAAGTCAAGGGTGACCAAGTGTCAGGATGCTTTATGGTGGGAGGCCATACCCTGTTGGCAGTGGGTCAGTGGTTCGGAGAATATTTAGTCGGTCCTTCCTCAGAAGCTTTTCCCAAGGGCCGGGTAAACCTCTGGTCTACCCTTGTCCTTCTGGGAGTATTGATTTAGGACCCTCTCCCCCAAAATCAAGGCTGCCTTCTTTGTCGTAAGCCTTTACGGTTCATAGACGTGACTTCATGTCTATAATTGGCTGGACTGTTCGGTTAGTTCACTCACCATGTACATGTATGTGTTGCCGAGCTGTGTCCCACTTTAAGGTTATTTATTCTTCCTCAATCCCAGTGTGTCATAAGCTCTAATTATAGCACCTGAAGACTTGGTATATGATAAACATTATTAACACAGCTAGTGCTCTTGGGAATATCAGCTGTGTTGATGGACAAAACACAACCATTCTAGCAACTTGACATCTGCTGACGTGCTCTCACTCTCTGTCATATCATGTACATGTACTGTATGTTTTTCCAAATTGTGAAAATAAAAATTATTCATTGTAAAAAAGCATTTGAAAGTAATGAAATGAAATACATATTCAAGAGTATAAACTCAGGAAAACTAAAAATGATATTTACTTCAAAAATAAAAACCCAGTTTTTTTGGTACACTCTGTTTGTTTTTCGTGTTTGCCAAAAATTTTTCCTTCAACCGTGTGTACATGTCTGTACAGTACTTCGCGTACAGCTTGTAATAAATATACATGCACAGTACATGCAGCACATTGGACATATACATTGACAAGTACATGTACATGTACATTTGAAAGCAGCTGACTACCAGCCTGCCACAGATTGTCCTGGTTTGAGTAGAACTCAGTTCAGACAAAAAATGTGTACCCAAATCCATGTACATTTAGCTTTCCTGAGAATTATATGGCACCAGGCTGGTAACAACAGGGAAGATTTTTTATTCCTCTGTGGACGATAACAAGAAGTTCTGGTGTTATTTGATTCAAACCTCATGTAACATCTGACCTCATGCCCTCCGATAGACCGTAGAATTCTGTGGCTTTCTGTCCTAAATTTTTCCTCGGTAATTTCACCTGGGGCACTGTACACTATCACATCCATGTGTAAACGGTCAAACTTTTCTCTAATTAATTTTTCTCTAGTTTATTGGTATGGTTACCTGTCAAATTTCTTCCTGTTCCCTTACTTTATAAGCATGTAGGCAAGATATGTCTGCAACAGTCTCTGAAATTATAAGCATTGTTTTGTTTGGAATAGGCTGTGACAGTTTCAATTTCTTGGAATCTCATATGCCTGCTTCTCAAATAGATACATGTTCTTGGCTGAATGAAGTTTATTACATATGTAAATACTTAAATTAAGGAGCTGGCATCATACAGTGTACCGAGGGTCATACTCAAGGAAACTCAAGGAAATTAGGTCTTGGAAGTGTTGGAGATCTCTGACAATTCTAATATAGTTAATTGAATGAGGGACTTTATTAATTCTGAGGAAAAATCACCCCTACTCCATTTCAATCCTTTAAAGTCTAGAAATGTGGATTTAAAGCAAAATACTTAACAAAAGGGGCAGCAGAAGGGAAAAGGTGAACCCAATACCTTTAACTTTCAAGGTTCCACCGTGAAGGAACAAAAACACAAGAATTGATGGCTTTTTCCTCCAATGGCTTCTTCATTGGCATATTTAGGGTCACAAATATGACGTCCTCATTTGAATGGAAAGAAGGGTTTTTTTGGCTGAATGCAAGTGGAAAGAAATGCAGCATCTGATCTAGTGGTGACCTTGTACAGGTTTTAATGTTTGAACACATTTGTGACCCGGTACATCGAAATCAGGAATAAGTCCCAAAGTGACTTTTTGAGATATGTCCATGGTCAGAAAGAGAATTTCATAAGCTTTCAAATGGTACACATTACAAGTGTATTGATGGTAACCTTTCATACATAAAACTTCCAAAATATACAGAAACCGCCACATCAATTTTTCAACATTTACCCACATCCCCACTTTACTCGGCCATTACGTGAAACGACCTCAGAGACTTATTCCATATTATGATGTACTTGGTCACATTTGTGACCCACCATTGTAACTTCATGTCCTTGAAGTAGTGGAAGTTTCACAACTACATGTACATGTATCACTACCCCGTAATTACCAAAAGCTTTCTGCAGACAGAGTTTAGACTTTACCCAGATCCCTCTGAAGTGCAGACAAAAAATGGGAGAGAGGAATTGTCAGACATCACAATTACCAGGTACCTATTCCATCCCCCGGCATTTGAAATGGAGGGTCATATTTCTGACATGGTATAGTACCCTCATAGATCTATAAGACATGGCAGACACAAAAGTCAAGTCCCTTCTTGATGTGATTCCTCCACAAACAATTCCGTTTGTCATTTGCTGTAGCTACGTACATGTATGTACTTTGTAAATAAATGTGTCTTGGAATCACATACAGTTTCAATTCAACACTACATGTACATCCATGAATCACAATTGTATAAGGCCCCCCCCAAAAAAATTATGTTTCTGGTTACCTGACCCGACTCCGAAAATCGTGTAGAACCTGTATCTTTTTATTTGAAAAATTATTAACAAACAAAAACTTGTGATGCCAACCCTAGAGTTTTATTTTTATGCACAATATTAATTAACAACCGTGACCACCCAACCCCAATATTTTGGCTAGCAAATTTAGAACTAAAGATGATTTTTCCACCTATCCAACTTTTTTTTCCATAGGAATAGGAAACACAACTGTATTTGTGTTTGGCCCTTTAAAACTCAGCGTTGCTTGTGCCTTAATTAAGACTAACATCAAAAGTATGTTAGTGTTGGGAAGTACGCATACATGTTGTTTTATGATGTTGGTTTCATTGCTTGGTTTAGTCGGCACCCATTGCATATTACTTCTCTCAGTCCTTGATCAGGTACGCCAGTATTCCGTCTTTCTCTTTACAGCTGTTTTTGTTTAAGTGCCAACATGTTTTGTTGGTAAAAGGAAAAAAGAGTGGACAGGTTTCTACAATTTGACCAGGCAACCGATACTAAACTTCTTCCCCTTTTTCAACAGCAGCCATTATACAGTGGTTTCCTTATGGGCAAAGAGGAAAGCACGTTATCAATATTACAAGCATATGATCAACTTCTGTATTTTTATTTTAAAACCGGAATTTAAGGTAAAAGCCCAATTTCTTATAGAACATTGCGCTTGCCGTTATCTCGGAGTACATGTGCATGTATTTTTCCTTTGCAAGTTTGGACTGTGTTTTACAAAGCAGCGGTGAATTTTTTGGTGTGTTTTCCTTTTTTCTCTTCTTGTTTTTCTTTCTCTTTTTCTTTCATGTACCAATTTAATACTTTTCTGCTCTGGAAAGTTCTCTCTTTCTCCATTCTGCTGTCCAGATCCCGATGACATATCCCAGTTCAAGCGTAATGTGTACAAATGTATATGTATCATTCACATTGAATATAACACACTCTCCTGTTCATGTAGCTCTCACAATGCGTAGCCACTGAAAGTTTTGTGTCCTTGCTGATTTAGTTACACTTCTTATTTCTTTTTATTTCCCCATTCCCACCCCTTCTTTACAGGTTTCTGTTTGAAGGGGATGAGGGGAACGTCCTTTACACCGGGGACTTCCGTTTGGCCAAGGGCGAAGCAGCGCGCATGGTACCGCTGCATTCTGGGAACAGGTCAGTCACTTTGGAACAACGTATGGTCATTGTGTATCTAGGCATTGATTGTAACTGAGAAGGTTGTAAACAGAAATAAGCGGGACTGATTAATTTTGATTATTTTGAAATTTGAAAATTTCCTGATGATTCAGAATGCGATTGTGGATGAAACAGGTTGAAATCATATTTCATGACTGAAAAATTATTCAAAATTATTCAACAACCATAAATCAAGTAACATTCAGCAGGAAAATTTATTTAGTTTTATCTACAGAAAACACTCTGACTTTAAAAAGCACATTTATGTTGAATTCTCAGAACAAGTTTTGGTCATGAACACAATCATGGAAATCTCTTTAGTGATAGCAAGGAATTGGAAATTTCCTTCTCTTTCACTTGAAACAGTGTTGGGTTTCCCATTTAAAAGTTGATCCCATGGCAACCCATGGTTTTCCAGAAGTACGTAAGACTTGTCACCTGGCACACTGAAAGAGAAACTAGCTTGCCCTCCGTAAAAATTCCACAGGTGTGTGTTTTAAGAATGTGTTAAAGATTGTGGTAAGGCTCAACAAGAGTTTGTAGTCAGAAACCAGTGTGATATGGAGCCAGTTCACTGAAATGCAGTTTACTGTACTCAATAAGTTTGCTTCTTTTGTCAGTAGAGGGCGCACTAGCAATTTACAGCAATCTATTTTCATGACCCACTATGGTTACTTTTGTGCCCACCTCGTCATTTGTTCCTGAGTGAAAGATGGTATCTTGCGAAATTACACCACGTATTAAATAATCTGAAAATAAAAGAACTGTTTTCTGAAATCTTTCACTTTAAAAGTTCGTCCATTTGATTTAAATTAAACTTTCAACCATTGTGTACCTAGCAATCAAATGAGGAATAGTGAATTTGCAAGTTTCCATCTCGTCTTTATTTTTTCTTTGAGCTGGTGCCTGTACATTTTAACTCTCTCTTTGATCGTTTATAATTCTCCTTACTCCAGGATAAAAGACATAAAGAGTGTTTATGTGGACACTACTTTCTGTGTGCCAGAGGCTATGTACATTCCAAGCAGAGTAAGCATTAAGCAAGTTATTTGTTCATATCAATTTTCATTCATAGTGACTTGTTGGATAACACTTTTTTGTGGGGAAAAAAAATTGGGCTCAAAGAATACTGAAACTAACAAGAGAGCTATTTCAAATCATGAAATTGTTTTGAAGTGAAATCGTCGAGCAACATTGGTGGAAAATTTATTATTTTGTCAACTTGACTGCATGTCTCAGAAGGAATTTATGAATGGGAATAAATACCGGTATGTTGGGAGAATTGCCGCTGATAATGTCCCCCAACTTCTGTCTTATCAGCACCCATTCTTCTGATCAAAGGAGTCAAGTACACGGTGATACCTTCATGGTATGTTGGGAGAATCGCCGCTGATAATGTCCCCCAACTTCTGTCTTATCAGCACCCATTCTTCTGATCAAAGGAGTCAAGTACACGGTGATACCTTCATGATCGATGATGTTTTCAATATTGAGTCCCTCTTTCCTTTTTGATGTTTGGGGGAAATTAGGGTTGAGTCAATTCGAATAATTCTCTATTAGAATATTCGATGTTCAATTTGATCAAATATCCAAATGTTCAGTTGCACTGACCGACAGATTGTTAATGAACTAACTATATACAAAATCAGTTGCAATAACACACAGATTGTACATAATGATCAATATAAGAGCTTCTCACATCTAGGAGTATCTCCAGCCACGATTTGGCAAGATTTAAGAGATGAACAAGACTTCTGGCCCTGTTGAAAATTTCTATTCCTTTTAAATTGTTTATTGAATAATTTACTTTTTGAATTGTAAGATTTCTGAAGCTGTTCATTCGAATCTGCTTGAAATAAGCCTCCAAAGTGCAATTTTTCTCATTTAAAACAAAAGAAAATTTTCCCTTCCTTTTCATGAATTTTGCATTAGAACATTCAACTTTGAAAAATAATATTTGAATATTCGACAATCGATCGGATGGAATATCCGGATATTCGGTATAGCCCTAGGGGAAATTCCTTGAAATTCCCATTACAGGTATGGTGTTGTATTGAGCATATGAGCATTTGTCGTATTGAGCGTCATACTCCTCCTGCCCTACTTTTATTACAAAGCTAGCAATTTGATAGTGGGGGATTTTGGGGGTTTCTGACAGGTTACAGGAAATTACAGAATATCCTGGTGATATCGCTGGATTTTGCATCATATTAAAAATAGGGGAATCACTGACCGGCATGTAATTTTTTTTCATCTGTAATCCAAGTCATATCCACTTCCCGAGATACAAATTACAAGCATTTTTATTTCGTCAAATAAACAAGAAATGGGGCTCAACAGACTAGTGGTAACGGAAGCCTGTGCGATACAAAATATCAAACAGAGTGAGTTTGTATGGGACTTATGCAGTGAACCATGCGATAGGTCGACAGACTGTAGTGCTCCCCAACCTGCATAGCATTTCACAGATATCACACAAATACATGATGCACTTATGGGCCGAGTTCGGGCGGCTTGTTCTCATATGTTCATGAACAGCTTGATTTTGTGGTTCTTGGGTTGGCCGCTTGAACACCAGGAACGTATAATTGGTCATCGCTGGTTGTTAGTGACAAGCAACATGGCGGCGTCCATATCGTAGTAAACTATTCAAGAGTTAATGCTTGGACAACTGGGCTGAATTCTTTTCTATTTAAACAGGAACATTCACTTCTGTGTTGTTAATAATGTTAATTTTGCAAAACTTCCTATTGTCTCCAACTTTGTAAACCATATCCCTATTTTTACAGCTGTTCAAAAATCAAAATCTCACAAGCTAGTTTTTCCGTGTGTTCCTGTAAAACCCAGACAAGGAGATGGTGTGTGATCCTGTTTCGAGAACAGTGTTCTTGAGCCGTGTTCCGGCCGTAGGAGCGCGAGAACAAGAAACCCGTGTCAAGAACACGGCGCCCGAATCAGCCATGATGTATTCTGGCGGTCTCGTTAGTATGACATCACAAACTGGCTGGCATGGTTGGACATTTGCTCATTGTATCTTCGATACGTCTTGTGGGGTCTATTTTTATAAGTCAGTAACGTAATGATTGACAAACCTAGTGGCTTCTGCCTTGCGTGGAATGTTGTGTGGCAGTGTGGCACATTGCTGTCATCAGCCTGGGTTACGGCCAGTCTGTGTTAAAGGGCCCTTAGTTGACCAAATTGGTGTCCCTCTTGGGGTCATGGTTCCGTGCTTTTGTAGACTTCCTCTCAGAGAGAACACAACTCAAATGTAGTCCCGGCAAAGGATACTCTTGGTGGTGTTGTTTCCTATCTAGCGCCACCACTTTGTGGCACGTTACCAGCTCTTTCACAGTACACTGATGAGTGTATTTGGTTCACCTTAGTTAACCAACACAAATCAAAGATCTATTATGGCACTGAAAGCTTGCATATAAAAACTAAAGGACATCCACTGTCAGTGATGTCAGTATGCAGTCTGCTGGACGTCTTGTACCAAGACTACTCAGAAAGGAAGATACTCACGTTAGATTGTGAAATCCTTGCTTAATTTTCTTTCCTCTACCAAAACAGGAACAGTCAAGGGATGCCCTTCTGAATTTAGTGGAGAAGTGAGTGTCTTTCTTTTGTTTTACTCTGAATCAACAAGTCTTTGTTCTATGGAACTCCTTCGGATTGTGTAGCAAATCAAGTGTTTTAAGCAAACATTTGAAATTCCTTAAGCTTTAGGAAAGGACGCAGATGACCGTCCTATGTATTTTCTATGAAAATGTAACTGATTGTTATGTAGAGATACATTTCACTGGGGGGGCAGAATTTTGCCGTCTCAATGATTATTTACAGACTTTACTAAGTTACTTGGTATACATAGTGAATTATGTTTTCTTTATCTAATAACTTCTGTTTCTTTTTGGGCTTTTTGTCAATATCTGCACCATTGTCAATGTGATGAATGGAGTTATTGTTTCAAGCCATCTGGCTTCTTTCAAATCCCACCCCCCCAAAAAAAATTGCATCTCAAAGTGATTACCTAATTTACGCTCTAAATCGTTATAAAAATTGTGTTAGGGTCCCCAGCTCTCCTGAAAAGTAGGGAAAACTTGGAAACTTAGTTTCCCCTTTTTCAAGTCATGGAAAAGTCAGTGAATTTGAAAAGAATGCCTGGAAGCACGGAAAAACCAGCCAGGGACTTTGATTGTCCCCAAACAGAAGGCGGTCCATCTGTAATATTTTCTTCATGTCTGATGCTTCTTCAACAGTACGGAAGACAGGTCATACCAGGAATATATTCAAATAAAGTAGCCTAAAATTTGAAAATTTCTCTGTGAAAAATCAGGAATTTTTGCCACACACTGGGAACCCTGAACATCTGTTTCAACTAAAAATTCACACAAGGTGACGGGATTGTTATTTGAGAATTGTGTTACATTTTGCGGAATAGATTTAAGTGGCAACACTTATTATATTTTACGTTGTTTTTTTTTTTTGTCAATTTACCAGACAGATCCAGAAAAGCCCCACACACATGGTCCGTCTGGCTTGCAAGGCCAAATACGGCTATGAGTACCTGTTTGTGGAGATCAGCAAGGAGTTTAATCTAAAGGTAAGAGAAGATCAAGTAACATCATGGCCACCAATTTAATTTGCCGCCCTCCTCAAATGTCACTTTTTATGTTCCGTGTTGGATAGTGAGTCTGCCTGCTGAGCCCTCATTGGGGCTTTGTTTGTTATTCATGAAGACCTACATGTAGGACAGTTTATTTATTCCTATTGGTTGAAATGCGTAACTTGACTGTGTATTAATATTTGATAATGCCTGCTGAGAAGTGATTATGTCCGCTGCGTAAATCACACACAAGCGCATGGATACAAGACAATTTAATCAGGTCGATTGATCAGGAGTCTTTGTGCACGCGACACACCACTCATGTGCCAAGTTCATTGAAAAGGATTCCATTGGACAACTTTCAAAAGGAACATACCATAAAATGGACTGGGGTGTTCAGGAAAAAGAAAGTAAAATTTTAGAACAAAAGCGTTGGAAATGCATCACATGTTAAATTCTTTTGACTCCTAGAATAAAAACATATTTATGAATGGGAATAAATATATACTTGGCTGGTCTCAAACTAACGTTTAAGACTTTGCTCGGGAGAACGAACGCTGATAATGTCCTCGCCTGCAGCTTGGGCATTAGTCGCTTCCATTTTCCTGAGCCAGTCTTAAACACATGTTTAAGACCGACCAAACACATTTTTATCCCCATATTTAAATTTGGTGATAACGAAGGCACTGATAATCTACTCATCCCTACCAGAGAAGAACAGAGACCCATCTTCACCAAGGTTAGACCATGCAGGGTCTCTGAGATTCAGAGTCATTTTTGACACAATTTCAGCTTTGTTACAGACACGTATGCAGTTGGCCATTTTTAAACAGTGAAAACTTTCTCCAAATTGAATGGGCTTCAGTTCTTGCACTTCAGATTCAGTTTTGCCTGTAAGGTCAACCTCTTGCTGTCTGTAATGTTCAGGTACACGTGTCAGCAGTAGTCATGGCACAGTATAAGAGGGTTCCGGAACTTGCCAAGCACCTGACTACCGATGGAAAAAGCACACAGGTCCATGCCTGTAGATACGTGGTACGTACATGCACAGTTACCAATAGAGACTGTCAGAAATGATTGAGAATGGGCTGCATCGCCGATTGCATCACGGTTTTGTCATTGTGCCAATTACCAGTTGGACGTGAATCTCTGAGCAGCAGCTTTTGATCGATGTCCCTTTTTCTCCTCAGGATTGTTCCATGCCAACCGCCACCGATGTTTTAGTAGTTGTCCCTAGTACCATGTGGTTCACTAGCAATGCCCGCCCATCCGATGTACTCAAGTAAGTGGCAACGAACAATTTGCAGTATCCTTCCTGTACTCTGAAATCACGACCCTTCTTTCACAATAAATACCTTTGCACTAAAGACAGATTGACTGTCTTATTTACAGACAATACATCAGGTGTGTTATTGTTGAATCAGCGTCATTTCGCCAGAAAATGTGGAGTGACCCTGTGCACATCCTGGGCTGTTCTTTGAATACCACAGATGTATACAAAGTTCAGTACCTAACACAATACTGCTTTGCTTTTGTTCATGATAAAGAGGCCCACATCCTTTAGGGAGTTGAGATTTTTGGAATCATTATAAGCCAACCACGCTAGAGGTCATCATCTCATTCTAAGGTCAACTAAACATAGCGTAACTAATGTTTTGTAAAGTGACTGTGCAAACTTCCATGTTTTTGACTGTTCTGTTTTCACAAACATTTCCTCGAAATTCCAGCTTTCATGTGTGGTCCTTTTCCTCTTGAACAGAAAGGTCAGGCACCGGTACCGGCTGTGCTTCTCATTCCATTCGTCATTTAGTGAGGTGAGTTACCAGGCCAAATGCTGTTAGTAAACTTTATAACCAGTTGTTTACCACTGTTTCCTCTTCAAAATACCCACCTGAAGTGTGACTTTTTTTCTGAATGTATTTCAAAAGTTGGCATTTTCATGTTTGACTAATTCTTAAATTATGTGATCACCAAGCCACTTGTGAGTTCTAGGCCTTTGAAAGAATCTTACCTAATGTAGATCATTGGCGAGCCCTCAACGTTCTCCATCCCTATGTCCAATCTCATCGTGGTACCGAAGTGAACGATGTGTCAGAATAAAGAGCTTTGTTCCCTCCATTGCAAATGAAACCAAAATTACTAAAATCATGGCTTTGCAATTCACTTTGTGGAATTGAGTCACATTTAAGCATCAAATATTTGGCACGCTTTCTCCATTGATAAATGCCTGCAGTTTTCATTATATGTAATTTTTTTCCTTCTAATTGATGTAATCTCTAGGTCCGTGATTTCCTTCGCCATATTCATCCCATCAACATTTATGCCAATGTGATACCATACGATTGTACCGAAGAAGTGATCAACGAAAGGTGAGGGGTTGGAAAGTGAACTACATAATTTTTTTTTGTATTCTGAAATTAACACTTTAGCAGTTTGTTACCACAAACGTCCCTTTTGTTTATTTCAATTGATTGCTGTCATGAATTTGTCATGACTTTTAATAACATTATTGCGTAAATGTCTACATGCAGTGATGTAGTCGAGTACTTTTTGAGAACCAAGTTCTCTCTCTACCAAATATTTAACTAGTTAGGAGGGAACAAAGCTGAAGTACATCGGCATTTGATGGTACAAAGCAACATAATGACTTCAGACCTTCACTGTTTGATTAAAATTAACTTTTTAGGACAAAAAGTACTCGGAAAATACTCGGCCGAGTACTTTCCGAGTACTTTTCCCCTCAAAACTCAAATTTTACACAACTGGGAGTGTCTGAAGTCTAACATTTATTTTGTAATCTTACCTTTGCCCATTTACCATCAAATGCCTGTGCACTCTGGCTTTATTCCCTCTTACCCAGTTCAGTATTTTGCGGACAACGTTGGTACTCGGAAAGTACTCGACTACAACACTGCCTACATGTAGTGTCTTTCAAATTATTTTGTTTCCATGGATATCTTTCCAAAGAGAACTTGTTCTCCATTGCGTAATATCGAACCTTTCCTTGTCCAGAAGCATCTTGTCAATCATAGTTATATAACAGCTCGTAATAATGGGCTAACAATGAGCTATGCTGTGGTAAGATACATTTACTTCACAACATTCAATATTAAATAACTGTTCTCCAACTGTTGCACTGAAGGTTTGCTTTTACTGCACATTTAGAAGACTCTCTGGGTTCTTTCAACTTGACATTATTCATTCATTCATTTATACTTGTGTATGCACTCTTTAACCCTATCCCCCAAGGGTTTATGTGAAATCATTTATAGCACTTAATAGCGGAGGATTTGGGACTCGTAGGTTTAATGCACAAACCAGAGAGCCCTGTATGCACCAAGTGTTTGGTTAGCATAAATTACTAAGACAAATGTATTCTTCTTGATATGTGTTTTAAGTTGTTTATTTGTCTTGGTATTGTGAGGAAGATTTAATCTTGTGATCGCCCAATTTTTACAACAGCAAAATGAATTGGATAAGTCCTTCAAAACTGGAGTGACTTGGAAAACCCTTAAACACGGCAAAGCCTTGTGGAAATTGTCGCTACAAGATGTCCTGGGATGCCATGTTAAGTTGGATAAATGCTGTGCTTGTTCACAGGTTACAGGATCTCAGAAGAGACACAGAAACACCAAAGCGTCCGCAACACTCTCCAGGGTACAGACCTTTGGGACAACTGAAAAAGTCCGCCCGAGCTGCCCGAAGGAAAATGACAGGTGAGACCCGAGGTTCAGGAGAAAGAAATCAGCACAGCTGTTATTGTTTGTTTATTCACAGTGGTACTGTAGTTTTTATTGTCATTCCACATTTCTACTTTTACTTTTAGTTCTGAAAATCTGAGTCCAAGCTGTTTTGCTTTTCAGTGAGTTTGCAGGTGATCTTTCAGTTTTAAGTACAGGAAGTTGTGCAAGTGTACCTATTTTGGACGAGTGCTCCCTCATTCATTTTCTGTTTGGATATCAGGGAATGTACTTTACCTTGTTTGTAGCCCACTGTCGGTACTGGAGAAAATAGAGCACAAACAATCAACACAAACACCGCAACTGCTGTTGTCCAAGGATTCTGTGCGCATGATTGATTTGTTCTGCGAATGAGTAAAATGTTCTGACTCGTAGCCTGTTCATGTTGCAAAACTTCCAGGAAAGAAATTAAACTAAACTAGCAAATTTTGTTGCAAAACTTCCAGGAAAGAAATTAAACTAAACTAGCAAATTTTGTTGCAAAACTTCCAGGAAAGAAATGAAACTAAACTAGCAAATTTTGTGTGGATGGTGGTAAATATCGAAAGTAACACTGCGGTATCCTTTGCAAGTTATTGAAAAGTTAAAAGTCGAAAAACAGACCCTGATCTTAGCTTTGACTCCTGTTTGACTGTTGTTCAAGGATGTTCAGCCTGTTAAATTACCACAGTCACGAGTCATGACGCTAACAGAGTTCTTACCCTGGCCCTTTGGGTTGGAGGTTATTTTTAAACTGTTCCACCTAGTCATGTCAGTTTGACCATAAAAGTCTTTTTAAAACAGGAATGTAACTACACATTAACTCACCAGTGTGCATGCTGAAATATCCCCCCTCCCATTGGTAAAAAAAAAGTTTGCTCTTTTGGGTGATTGATTTATTTTTTTTAAGAATGGAGTACCTGGAATTACTCATTGCACAATGCCACTGCTTCACCCACATCTAAGTAAGGTCCTTTTTGACTCATATTTTTACAGAGCCACAAAAAAAGACAAATCAGATACTAGGAAAGTGTAAATTTCTATTCTGATGTTTCCTGCCTTATAACTTTACTACAATAGTAATTGTTATCAATACATCAAAGCCATATTTCATGATCAAGTTGTGTGGCGGGGTCCGTCATACGCAGGGACAACAAAATGTTGAATAATGGCCAAAACATGACTATGACTTGGTACCGAAAAAAGGCTACTCCGCGTAGGTTTTAATTTGATTCAGTCCCAAATCACTCAATCAAGATTATGGAGGATTCATTGCTTGTTTGAGGCTATGTAGTGCTTTTTGACCAGCCGTAACACAGAGCCAATAATGGAAGCACTGATGCACAGGTATCCTCATTTTGTTGAATTCTCTGTTTCTGGTTTTCAGGAAAGAAATGGCTAACATTACAATATTCAACAACAAAACTTGGTGGTTTGTGTTGACAAGAATATAATACAGAATCTGATCCAGAACTGAATCTGCTTGCCCTGAAGAAGGTACTCAGTTACCGAAAGCTCGGCAATTACATGTTTCAGAGCACTGATATTATATTCTTGTCAATATTCTGACCACGGTGCTACGCAGCCTTTCCATATTTCATTGCTTTGTGTTGTTGGTTTTGTATTGCATTTTTTTGGGGAATGATTTCAGGGGTACAGTTACTGTTTGGGGGGCAACTTAAATGAAATCATTGTTTATGGGATTCTAAATCTCTGCCAAAAAGTGATCTTCATCACAAGACACCGGCTTCTACCAAGTACTAAGAAGGAAGGAAGGGGGGGCTAGTCTCAGTTGCAGTCAAAGCTGTCGTAATTATAAATTATTTTTGTTTATACTGGCCATGTCCTGGTTGACGCCCAAGCAGCAAACTCATTTCCACTGACTAAAACCAAATAAATAGGAAACTTGTGTGCAGGAAAATGTTTGGGGAAATTTGCAGACAGATGTCACTTCCAGTTTTCACAATAACGGTGACTTGCCAGAACTTATGGTGCCAGAGTTCCCATCTAGATAACACAGTCTGGTTTAGTGTCAGGCACAGACAGACCTGTAAAATCCAGTCATTCATTTCAGACCTCCGTCAAGTCTAGTTGCTGCTCCAAAATTGACAAGAGCGAAGTAAGATGGAGATTGTTGCAGTGTACAGGCTGTTTCTCTTGTTTCTCTGCTTTGTCTTCACTTCTTGTTCCACTCCGTCTCAAGACCAGCCTCTCGTATCGACATCATCTTTGGTTGAAGTGGAAACAACGATGCTGCCAATGCAGAAGGATTTATGTCAGACCTGCAAGTGCGATAGAACGAATGATGCCAAGGTGGTAAACTGTAGTTCCGTACAGTTGAATGTTGCTGACTTGGCGTCTGCTGACCTCAGTGACACTGGCACACTGATCCTCAGCCACACAAACTTGGAGCGCTTTCCTGCTGTACAGGCACCACAACTTGTCACTTTGGACTTGTCACATAATCAGATCTCAGATTTGAGTGAATCACCCGTTGGTGAGAATAGACCTGATTTGAGAGAGCTGGAACACTTGGATATAAGCCAAAACCGTCTGTCTAAACTCACCAGAGAGATGCTAGGTGGTGCTGTGAGCCTGATCAATCTTGATGTCTCTCACAACAATATAAACACCATAGACATCGACACTTTTGCTAATTTGACGTCCTTGAAGACCCTGCGGCTAGACCACAATCAGCTGGACGAAGTCCCGAGTGCCATCAAAAGCAACTACAGGTATTTAAGGCAGGAACTCCAGACCCTCAATCTGAGGGGGAATCCCATCAAGGAACTTCCAGAGGATCCCTTTGGAGACCTGAAGTACCTTCATAACTTGGACCTTAGCAGAATGGAGCTGAAATATGTCCATCCAGATGCTTTCAAGGGGCTCACGACAGGCTTACATGAGCTTTATCTAAATTCCAATAGCCTTCAGACGCTGTCTATACTAACTATTCAGAACCTACATCGTTTGACCTCCCTGTCCTTATACGACAACCCTTTGGTATGCAATTGCACCCTGGAAGACCTTGCTAAGTACTTGGAGGCTCGACCTAACATTAGCATTGTCTGTTTGAAGCACACAAACTGCAATGTCAATGACAGCCAAAATATTGATTTCAAAAGCCAAGACATTTCCATGTTCTGTATATCCCCCACTACTGTAGGAACCACAGAACGCATGTCTAGTAAATCCTTCCCCACTGTAGAAATCCTACTTGGAGCTGTGGGACTTACTGTCCTCATCGCCATAGCAATCATCATTATATACTGTTACAGAAAAAGGCAGTCAGACCACACCAACAGCTCTTCAGTGAATGCAGTGCCATCTTTTCAATTGACGCACGTCCAGACATCTACAGAAGATAACACCAAGACCCGTAGTGAGCACTTTTACTCCAGCGTTAAGAGCCTGCAGCCTCCAGTGTATGCTTACGCACAAGTCCCTGGTGGACTCAGTGGTCCGAAGACGATTGAGCCAGCAGCTACTTACAAAAATGTGTCATCTCCGCAGAGACAACAGCCAGATGACAGTTACCTGATGCCATCCTGTAAAAAAAAAGAGCAGAAACCTCTTCCAAAGCCTCGGAAGTGCTGCCTTAACGAGCAAACAGTACTGTAAAAGAGCGACATCAAACTGTCAGGTCAAACGTGAGTCATACCAGATTGCTCACCTGTGCTACAAGTAGGCTTATCCTACACATTACATACACAATAGATTGCAGTTTGTTATCCACATACCAGCGTGTATCATTCTCAACTGGGTATTTCTTTTTGCTCGGGTGTGGCAGACAACCACTTTCTTCTGTTTTTCCTCAAGTGCAGTAGAAAAGTAGAACAGTGGAAGGCTGTGATGTGTGTGTGAGAAGATCTCGAACGACTGTAGCTTACTTTCATAAACTAAGAAGAACTTTTCTTTTTTACGTTTAGACTAGAATCCGGCCAGCTGTCGCTCTGGTGGCACCATTATGACTTACATGTGGTATATGTGCTTGATTACATACCATCTCAACCAGGAGGGCATTTGGAAATTGATATGCACATCAAGTTTAAGCGTACTTGCTAGAGTGTAATACCCCTGAAAACATGTCATCTGCTAGGATATTTGTGGCACCAATCAGAGGTTAACATGGCACAACCATGGTGGCAGTGTTTGGGGTCATTTTTACGTGGAAATTACATTGAAAAGGACCGTAGTAATTTCAAACAATGTCGTTGTGGTCTATCACAAAGCACTTCACCATTTCTAAGCATATGTACTCATCTGTAAAATGGTGCTGTGAATCAAAGATGTACAAATTGCAGTCTGTACATTAGTCAAATAGCATATAAA